TAATCCCAGCGCTTCGGGAGACCAAAGTGAGTGGATTGCATGAGCCCGCAGGTTTGAGACCCGCCCAAGGAACTTGGCAAAACCTTCTTCTCTACAGAAAATAAAAAACTAGCCAGTGCTTGGAAGGCTGAGGCCGAAGGATCACCAGAGCCCAGCAGGTCGGAGTGAGACTCCAACTCAAAAAACAAAAACAAAAAATCTTTTTGTAGCAACGAAGTCTGGCTGTGTTACCCAGGCTGGTCTTCAATTCCTGAGCTCAAGCAATCCTCTGGTTTCAGCCTCCCAAAATGCTGGGATTCCAGGCACTAGCCACCGTGCCTGGCCCAAGACAACTTTAATTATCATCCTTTCTTCTGAGTTTTTTCCTGAGGGACTTGGAGAAAGTCACTCCCTCTCGCCAGTTAACTGTTTTCTACTGACCCCAAATGTTTAGACAAAGCTTCTTTTCAACTTCACCAGAAAACCTTTGAATCTGAAATCCTGTGTGGGCATTGCCCATCCCCTCCCAACCCCCATCTGTGAATACGAGGACATGAAACTGCTATAGGCCAAGGCTCTGGGAATAGAAGATCGTTACAATTATGTTTTGTTGTTGTTGTTGTTGTTTGTTTGTTTTTTGAGTTGGAATCTCACTCTGTCGCCCAGACTGGAGTGCAGCGGCCACTCCCGGCCACCGCAGCCTCGACCTGCTGCGCTCCTGCGATCCTTCCGCCTCAGCCTTCCACGTAGCTGAAACTACAGGTGCAAGCTACACACCCGACTAATTTTTGATTTATTGTAGAGATGAGGGCTCGCCAAGTTGCCCAGGTGGGTCTCAAGCCTGTGGGCTCGGGCAATCCACTCACCTCAGCCTCCCAAGGCGCAGGATTACAGGCTGAGCCACCGATCCCAGCCACAATTATGTTTTAAAACAATGTAAGGCTATCATTTTAAATGTTGTGACTTCTCCTTCCTCCCAAAGGTTGCAATTGTCTGCCCCTTCTTGTAAAGGGCATGTAAAACACATGCAAATTACAGAACGTTTTGTAAAATTTCAGCATAACCCAAAGACTCTGCATCAGGTCGGTGATCACATACCAAAAACTGTTAATGTAAATTTTAAGTCATGCTAAGACTGCACGCTGGCTTCGAACTCAGGGTGGGTGAAGGGCTATGAATTTTGTGTATAAATACTGGAGTAAATTTGTATTGCTTTCCGTGGGGTTTTTTTGTTTTGTTTTATTTTGTTTGAAAATATGCCAACCTGTCTTTCTATAACCTGGTTATATAGAAATTAAACACACCTCGTTCTCCCAGTCTCTCATTTTTTAGCTGGCCCCTAACAGTTACAGTCACAAACCGGTGCTCCTATTATATCAATCCTGTCATTTTTCTAAGTTACAGTTACCTTGAACAATTTGGGACTGCGTTCTTTCTAGCTGGTTACAGTTTTTTGCTTATTCTGGGAGGTCTGGTTCACAAGGCTTGATTAAACATTATACATAAAATTAATACAAAGACATGAAAGAAAGTCATTGTCATTTAGAGACTAAGGGAACAGACACATTTCTGGGTTTTAGAAAGTTTCATCAGAGCCCATTTCTTATCTAGGGCCCGTGAAGGCTTTTCCACACATGGGCAGTCTTTGTGTGTGCTTTTCCTGCTTATTGGGGGTTCAGTGAAAATGGTTGTGTTCTCTTCAGTACTAGCAGCAGTTACTAGATTTAAGGACAGTGAAGGGGGAACAAAGAAAAAAATCTTCACTTTTTTTGTGTGTGTTGGAGTTTCACTCTGTCACCCAGGCTGGAGTGCAGTGGCACTCTCATGGCCACCGCAGCTTCGACCTGCTGGGCTCAGGTGATCCTTATGCCTTAGCCTTCCAAGTACCTGGAATTACAGGCATGCGCCACCATGCCTGACTCCTTTTTCTGTATATTTGAGCCTAATCCACTGAGGTCTCACTCTTGAAACTGGCATAACACGCTGCACAAACTCAGAGACCAAATGTTATCACATCGGTGACATTTTTCTAATTATTAATGTGAGAGTCGCATCCCCCTTACTAGTGAGAAGTGCAGTGTCTCCTTCCCTGAATTATCTGAAATCCATGAAGAGAGTGGTGAGTGGAGGTGGGGCGGGATCTCACTGAGGAAGGAATTCAGATAAAACAAATATAAGTTTCAAATGTTAAGATCCAGCAGGTCAATTTCTATGTTTATTCAAAAAAAAAAAAGGAAACAGAAAGAACTCGGTGACTCAACCTGTAATCCCAGCACTTTGGGAGGCTGAGGCAGGTGGATTGTCTGAGCCTGCGGGTTCGAGACCAGCCGGGGCAACTTGGTGAGAGACCTCATCTCTACAATACATCAAAAATTAACTGGGTGTGGTAGCGTGCGCCTGTAGTTCTGGCTACTTGGAAGGCTGAGGCAGAAGGATCGCCAGAGCCCAGCAGGTTGACGTTGGGGTGGCCGTGAGTGTGCCACTGCACTCCAACCTGGGTGACAGAGAGAGACTCCAACTCAAAAACAAAAACAAAAATAAAAAAGCGTAAACAGGTTCTATGGGACAATTGAACTGGTTTCACCATCTGTTTCTGGTGATAAGGTTGTTACCCTTTCCTGATATGGGAAGTGGAAGGGGAGACAACTTCACAAGGGAAATTTATGTTCCGCTTTCAGGCGGATGGGAGAGGACAGATAACTTGTCCTGTGTCTACATTTTTTTTTTTTTAATTACCTTTAGCTCAAAAGAATCCTTATGCAGAGAGGTATATTTTATGGTGGTATACTCTAAAGCCCTTCAGGGGCTTGGGCTGCTCTGAGAAGTGCAGTAGTGATATGGGTTAAAATAGGGTTTAAACGGGAGAACCTAGCCACCTTTTAAACAAACATGTTTCTAGGAAAACTGTGTCCCAAAGTTTCAAACAAGTGACATACAAGGGAATCTTCAGAACACAGCGCCGCTTGCAAGATGCAAACCTTTGTCTCTAGCTAGTGGTAAAAAGGGTGGAGCCTCTAGCTGGTGGCAAAAAGGGTGGAGTTAAATGAATGTGAAACCTCCTATATACATATATTTTTTCTTTTTGATCAGAGTCACACTCTGTTGCCCAAGTTGGAGTGCAGTGCTCATGATCATGGCTACCACAGTCTCGACCTGCTGGGCTCAGGTGATCTTACGCCTCAGCTTTCCAAGTAGATGAACCTTCAGGCGTGTGCCACCACATCTGGCTATTTATTTATTATTATTATTTATTGTAGAGACGAGGTCTTTTCGAGTTCCCCAGGCTGATCTTGAACCCCTGGGCTCAGGTAATCCTCTCGTCTCTGCCTCCCAAAGTGCTGGGATTATAGGCGTGAGCCACTATGCTTGGTCTGCCTATATAAAATTAATATAGGGCCATGGGCAAAAACAGTGGAAGAGATATGAGCCCTGCACAATTGTAGCTATGCTTAGAAATGAACAAATCCATTGTTTCTAGGTTTGTTTTCCTCCATTCAAGACTGTTTGTGCTTAGTCATTTCAGTGGAGAGCAACTGATAATCTTCATGTCCTGTCCTCTGGGGAGGAAGAAGCTGCCTGCAAGGCTGATAATCACTGTTTCTCCTTAAACAATGGGCCTAAGGTCACACAGATCTCCTTAATGGCACCCAGAATTTTGATCGGCAACTCTCACCTCCTGGGGGTCCCATCTCCTGCACACCTTCCTACTAAGCTATCTTGGTAATGGCTTCCGTCCAGGGCTAGTAGCCAATGGTCACAAACCTTGCTCTTACGGTAGCACCTATTGTAAAACCTAAGAATGGTGTTTGAGATGTTTTTAGACTTTACACTCTGATGGACCCATGACCCCACCAGAGCCACCGAGAAGCCGATTCTACTGGTCCTGTGATCCCCTCCCAGAAACCGGCTCTGTACACAAAGACAGTTCCAACACCCCTATGACGTCATCACCAGATGATACAGGACTGGGGACCCCAAAGTCAGGGTCCAGCCAGAGAAGCCAAGTGGGTTCTTGACTGCACGCAGGAAGGAATTCAAGAGCAAGCAACAAAGTGAAAGTAAGCCAGGTGCAGTGGTTCTTGCCTGTAATCCCAGTAAGGCAGGGTAGCTAGCACAGGTTAGACATAGACAGATAAATTTTCCATAGGTAGGTTTGAGGAAACATTCAGACTTTTTTTTTTTTGAATTGGAGTCTCACTTTGTCACCCAGGCTGGAGTGCAAGGGTACGCTCACGGCCACTGCAGCCTTGACCTGCTGGGCTCAGGTGATCCTCCCACCTCAGCCTTCCAAGTAGCTGGAACTACAGATGCACACCACCATGCCCAGCTAATTTGTGTGATTTACTGTAGAGATGAGGTTTCACCAAGTTGTCCAGGCTGGTCTTGAATCCCTGGGGTCAGAGAGTTCTCTTGCCTCGGCCTCACAAAGTACTGGGATTACAAACCGAGCCACCGAGCTTGGCCCTGAAAGTTTTTTTAATGATCATTATGCATGAGCCCGCAGGTTTGAGATCAGCCAGGGCAACCTGGTGAGACCTCATTTCTACAATAAATCAAAAATTAGCCAGGCGTGGTAGTGCGGGCCTGTAGTTCCAGCTACTTGGAAGGCTGAGGAGGAAGGATTGCAGGAGCCCAGCAGGTCGAGGCTGCGGTGGCCAGGAGTGTGCCACTGCCCTCCAGCCTGGGTGACAGAGTGAGACTCCAACTCAAAAAAAACCAAAAAACACCAGAACTTTCAGGATCCCTGTCAAAGATGGAAGGCCAAAGACCACGCCTTAACTGACCAAAGCCATAGAAATGATAAGACCACCTTTTAGCTAAGGAACTTGTGGATTGGAAATGTCTGACAGGTCTCCCACAAAAGATAATATGGACTGATGCGATGTGCGGGTGCCCCGTTGGGGGCGGGCCTCTAGTCTCCACTGCAGGGTTCGATCCCAGGAGAGTCCACGGTCAGCGAGCTGGGCTGCGGCAGGAGGGAGTGGACCTATTGTTCTTCCTTTCTCCTGTGAGCTGCCACCATGACCCTGACGAAAGGTTCCTCCACCTACTCCAGTGGCGAGGAATATCGTGGCGAGTGGAAGGAGGGAGAGAACGACCCCAGGCATCCTCACTTGCTGGAGGAAAACGTCACCAGGATGTGTAGCCAACTTCACAAGCCTCGTTTCCGCCTCCAGGGCTTAATTCCAGGGCGTCTTTCCTTTAGTCTATCTGGGGGTTAAGTGAAGGAATTAGAGTCAGTCCAGCCTCCGGGAATGAGTAGTGTCTTTCTGCTTCTAAATTCACAGTGTCGTAGCACCCTTCCATGATGTAGTGGTATTATTTAGGAGTGATTTTAATAAGCGCTAATGCACCCAGCAGAGTAAAATGGATTAAGTGCCCATAAATTAGAGGGTTCGGGATTTATTGCAATGACGTGGTTCCAGGGAGTCCTAAGGAGTTAAGAAGACCTGGAAATGAGGGCAGAAAATGACAGTCGCTGCCTTGCATTTCCTGTGACAGCTCATTACGCCTGGACGTGACTATTCCTAGGAAGAGGAAAGCACTTTGGGGCCTGAGACTGTACAGGAAGCAATTGACTGCTATTCAGTTTGGAAACTCAGCCTGGCCACTTTGAAGTCACATGGGTCCAGCCCCAGCCAGCCCAGAGCTGCTCCGGGGAGACTGGACTTTGCGCTTGTGAGGGAAGGGGAGTTCATGGTGTCGCCTGACACGCACCTCATTTTCACATTTGATCCCTGCAACTGCTAAATCCGTGAGCCTTGAGAATTGCACAGAGGTGGTGCACCCTTGCCTTCTTCAGTCCCAAGCCTCTGCTCCTGCCCCCAAATACCTGCCATCCCCCTCTGATGTGGCCTGTCGGAGGAGAGCCTTCCTGGGCTCTGTCACTCAGGCTCCATCTACCACGAGAACGCCCCCATGCCCTCCCGAAGGCCGTGAGGACGCCCAGCAGCTTCCTCTGTGTTCCAGCCGCAGACACGGTTTTGGTCAACTGATGTTTGCAGATGGTGGCACCTACCTGGGTCATTTTGAGAACGGGTTCTTTAATGGCTTCAGGGTGCTGATCTTCTCAGATGGCTCCAGGTACGAGGGGGAGTTCGCCCAGGGCAAGCTTAACCGCGTCGGCGTCTTCATTCGACACAACAACTTGACCTTTGAGGGGGAGTTTAAAAATGGCAGAGTAGACGGTTCTGGCCTGCTGACTTTCCCTGATGGTTCTCACGGAATCCCCCACAACGAAGGCCTGTTTGAGAACAACAAGCTTCTGCGGCGGGAGAAGTGCTCGGCTGTAGTACAGCAGGCCCAGAGCGCATCCAAGTCAGCCAGGAAACTCATGGCCTGACGGGCGGGCTCCAGTCGGCACGTGTCGACCAGAGCCAACGTCCTGTGGTCAGTTATGTGGACGGACAGACCAGAGCTGAGCTGAACTGGTGACGACCGTGGAACGGAGGCCTCGTGTGCCCCATCCCCTGCTGGTCCAGAATGTGACCATGGAAGAGTGCCGAGGATGCTGGTGTGCAGACTTCGCAGCAGTTGTTAGCTGGTCTGTCTTTCCCTGACCCTGTGTGCTGGGGGACCGAGGAGCCACCTCTGCCCACATGTTGGTGCCCTCTGTTCCCGAGTCCTTGGCTTCCCAGCACAGACCTGCCGCAACCTTCTACGTTGTGTTCTGCTGAGGGATCCGGAATCTCCTTGTTTTGCCTATATTTAGGGTGGGTGGTCCTAGCCCCAATGGGGTGCTCTGTGCTACCCTGGAGAAATAAGGGAAGTGACAGGAGTGGACTAGACAGTACAGGAGTCCTGTGGAGACCGAGGTCAGATTCTTGTACGTTGCCCCTTACTCGCTGCTGGTTGGAATCGTGGCTCCCGCTGCCACTGTCTGACCATGCTGGTGTTCCTGTCTGCTTACTCTCTGGGAGGGTAAGTGTGTGTTCCCCTCTCCAGACTGGCCCCCTTCCCTGGGTGACAGCAGGTGATTCCACCTGTGCCTCTCCCCTTCCTTAGACATGGGCCAGGGCCCCCTAATGGATAGTCAAGAAGAAGCTGATGTAAACAGTCATCTTATAACGTGTCTTCCTGACAACTCCAGGGTGAGGGCGGAATATTCAGGACACTTCAGGCCCTGTCAGAGTGAACAGAACCCGCAGGGATGGCTCAGGCCCACCCAGTTTCTCTCCAGTGAACCAGTCCATCAGACACCCCTCCACCCCTGGGCTGGGGTCTTGGTATAGTCCAACCCCTTCTCCCCCCAGGACTGTGGTGAGCAGGAAGAACACTGGCTCGTTGCTTTTGGTTCACTGGAACTCTTTAAGCGTGAGCTTGACCTTCAGGCCTGGGATAGACCTTGACTGACAGGATCCCTGCACAGTCATCACCGAGGCCTCAGCTACCCTGTGACCCAGACACCCCCCCACAAGCCCACGTCCCACGAAATGTCTCATTGTGGTGAAAATTCTAGCCGTGTGCCTCTATTCTCTGAATTATACGGTGGAAACAAGTGTTGGTGAGAAATAAACAGATCACCAAGACTGCCTAAAAAAAAAAAAAAGATAATATGGTCAGGAAAAGACCTCCCCTCCCCTTCTCTCCTCCCATCGGGGACCCAGAGATGTCAGTCTCCAGAGCGGCAGTTACTTGGGCTCCACCCTCCTTAGTATATCAGTCATTGTGAGGTATATCAGGTTTATTGTAAAGAGCAAAGGTGCGGTTTCTTTCACCCATGCCAGCTCTGGCATGTCACTCTTTCTTTTCTCCCTTCTTTCTCTAATAAACTTTAAAAACTTTGCTAGCTGCTCTAAAATTCATTTAGAAATGAACCAAAGAATCCATGGGTTTTGCACCATATTCTCCCTGGCTTCACCAGCACTTTAGGAAGTAGAGGCGAGAGGATTGCTTGTCCAGGGGTTCGAGACCATCTCGGACAACTGATGAGACTTTATTTCTACCAGAAATCAAAAAATGAGTCAGGTGTGGTGGCTTGCACCTATAGTTCTAGCTACTTAGAAGGCTGAGGCGGAGGGATCGCCTGAGCCCAGCAGGTCGAGGCTGCGGTGGCCGTAAGTGTGCCATTGTACTCCAGCCTGGGTGACAGAGTGAGATTTCGATTCAAAAAAGTAAAAATAAAATATAAATAACTAAAAAACTTAAAAAGCGAAAATCAGTTTATTAAAGGAAAAGAGGAACAGAAAGAAAGTCACTCTATAGGTAGAGCAGCCACTGTGCATCACTGAGATTTCGGTTGAAAAATGAAAACAAGTTCATCTAAATGACAGAGAGGCCAGCCTGGGCAGGTCTAGGGGAACTGCAGCTGAATATTACTAGAATTCTTTTACTTTTATATTATTTTTTGATTATATGTGAAGAAAGTGGTGGAAGAATCATGGGTTTTCTGGGCAAGGGGTGGAGATTTCTAAGATCTTGCGGTGCGGAGGCGTCTCAGGAAAGCAGATATTGGCCATTAGTAACAGGAAGTTGTTAGAGCACAGTGTTAGCTTTTTGGCTGCTGCAACTCTGTGCTCTGTTTGAGAGGTTTCTATGATGAGTTGTTTTAGCTACAAACTCCTCTCCCATCCTCCTACAAACCCTATCACCACACCGGATCTTTTTTTTTTTTTTTTTTTTAGTTGGAGTCTCACTCTGTTGCCCAGGCTGGAGTGCAGTGGCACGCTCATGGCCACCCCAGCATCGACCTGCTGGGCTCTGGCGATCCTTCTACCTCAGCCTTTCAAGTAACTGGACCTCAAGGTGTGTGCTACCATGCCCAGCTAATTTTTTGATTTATCGTAGAGATGAGGGCACACCAAGTTGCCCGGGCGGGTCTTGAACCCATGGGCTCAGGCAATCCACTCACCTCGGCCTCCCAAAGTTCTAGGATGACAGACCGAGCCACTGAGTCCAGCCTCACCCAGGATCTTCTAATAAATGGGCGGAGCTGGAATTGTCATGGCGCTGGAGGGTGTGTCATTTAGCATGCTAATGTATTGTAATGAGTGTAGAATGAGGAGCAAGGTTGGGTAGCAGGCAACTTAGTTGCCATCTTGGGTCTAGCTGGCTCTGACTCCTTCTTGTTTTTCTCTGTGAGAGCTCAGAGAACCAGGCTATTGACCTGTCTAGAGGAACTCTGTAAGCCACTGGTCTTGCAAGGGCAGCCTTTTTGTTTATCCTGGAAAATTGGTCCTGCAGAACTTCTGACTCACAACCAATCAGCGGTGTCTACTTCCTAGCCCCTGCCTGCCAAATTAGTCCTTAAAAAAAACCTGGCCTAAAATTCTCAGGGAGGCAGATTTGAGAAATTTCTCCTATCCTCCCGCTCAGTGGCCTTGTGTTTTGTTAGAGCATGGATAGGGTGAGGGTGGAGAGATGGATGAAGTGGAGAGGTGAGGGGAGGCGCAGTACCTCTGGAGCCAGCAAGCTGGAGGTGTGCACTGGCTACCCAGAGATCCAAGTAAATGCAAAGAATTACAACACACAGAGGTGAGAGAAAAAGATTTATTTAAGAAAGCTTCACCTCCCACAGACAGGGAGTGGGCCTACATTCTAGGTGAGTGTGGCGACGTAGCCCCCCAAAGGCCTGGCTTAAATCCTTTTCTTGGAGATGTTGCACGTGACTGCTGTGACTTTCTTATTGACCACCCGCGGATGTCTTGGAGATCCTGTGACACAGAGACGCATTAATGTCTGCCCACATTATCATAGCCCCTAGAGAAGGGTATGACCAGGATTCTAATTCTCCTGCACCTTCCTGAACGACATTCCTTAGACCTAATGGAGGGTGCACCTCCCCTTATCTCCTATGCATTCCCAGTGGGTAGCTTCGGGGGATCCTTGGCTTCCCTGTAGATAGTGCCCAATTTACTGGAAGATCGAATCCCCATCTGCTCTCCCTCTGAGTGGTCATAACTTGTAATTACAAGTTTCATGACTTTTACAGTCCTTGCCCAATGCATGATGTCTTAGGCCTTGTGAATTCCCTTTACTCTAGGCAAGTTTGATTGCTGCTATGAGATACCTCTGATACCTGGCACCAGGAAGTCTGTTTCTGAAAAGACAAAGTCGGTAAAGTTAATTATACCTAAAGTGTGCATTTTTCCAAAAGCATAGCTTCTACTTTCTCATCATTGTGTCAGGGTTTAAGAACAAGAGGACAAATGGCTTCCCACTCTCAGTCTGTCCTTCCAAGATTTGCATTCTGTCGCCCACCAGACTGCAGTGCAGTGGCTCCCGGCCACCGCAGCCTCGACCTGCTGGGCTCAGGTGATCCTTCTACCTCAGCCTTCCAAGTAGCTAAGACTGCAGGCACACGCCACCACACCTAGCTAAATTTTTGATTTATCATAGCAATGAGGTGTCGCCAAGTGGCCCAAGCTGGTCTCAAACCCCTGGGCTCAGGCAATTCTCTTGCCCCCTCCTCCCAAAGTACTGAGATTACAAGCGTGAGCCACCATGATCAGCCAGAGTTTATTAATTCAAGAATTCAAGGATCATGATAGAGATGAGAATGTGCAGTGGGCTGGAAGGAGGTGCTTGCCTGATGGCTGAGCCGAGAACTCAAGGTTTACAAAGTGACTGACAGTGCTTGTTAGTCCAGAATGGCTTAAGATCAATGTATTTCTTGCTTTAGTGTTTCTGTCTTCTCAAATCAAGAGCCCTTATGCATCTCAAGAGTCTCAAAGTAGCCATTTGCCTTCATTCCGAAGAGCAGTCATTGGCCACCTGCAGGGTTTGTATTAACATGAAACTATGCAGACAGCTTTCTGTTCTAGGGGAAAAAAAAGCCTCTCTGTAGCTCAAGGCAATCAGGCATTCTGCTGAAAGAAGGCAAAATTAATTGACTGCGGAAAATAAACCGACATCCTCCTCCCACAGAACTGTTGAAGAGAAATCATCTTGAATGGGTTTGTAACTGGTTCTTTTACACAGTGTTTGCTATTTTAAAGGATTCAGTGAGCTGTTAATGCTCAGAGACTGCAGCATAATGAAGATTGCCCTGGGTATGGGTTAAAATTGACCTAAAAACGCACATCGGGCTTATCCTGTGTTTATTACAAATATTCAACTGGCTGCTGAGATTTCCTTAAGGCACATTGAACTATTAAACTCCAAGTCTTATTTTCACATTTCTGTTCATTTTGCTAATTATCTCTTAACAGAAACTTTGTGTGATTGACTTTCCTCAACCCGTTGGCAATGAGCAGATTTCAATGAAAACTGTTGTTTAAACAGATCATTGGATTCGAGTCTACTCAGTGGGGTGCCTTAGGAAAGCCCTGGAGAGAGAGACCTTGACAAAGAGCATGAATTAACAGAACCGGGTAAACAGACCCATGGTCTTGGACTGCAGAA